TGGTCGGTCGAGTGTGGCCTCGCCCATGCCAAATCGCGCTGAAGCGAACGTCCCTCTCCTGGCCAGCCGTACAGGATAGCGCGCGCGCGCACGCCTCTCCAGTCGCAGGAGCAAACGGGTATCCTACCTGAGGACCAGCACTTCATTCTTGAAGGCCTGGAGCTGCTCTGGAGTTGGGTACGTCACTTTCAGGATCTTGATGGCAACGTCGCCTGCAGAGAGAGATACACTGAGTGTCACGAGGGGTAGGCGGGAGGGTGAGGCACTGGGGCAGGGCAAACACGGCAAGGGGAGACGCAGTGGATGGTAGCACCCTAGGAATCGAGGATCAGTGGGATCTTGCTGCGCATGCTCCCCAGTCCCTTAAGGTTGGTGGATAGCGTGGTGTGTAGACTACCTGCATTTATTAGCCAAGAGCCGGGGAGACGAGACCGGAACTGTATAAAACGCTAGTTAGGTCACAGGGAGAGTACTGTGTGCAGCTCAGGAATCCACAAGATAGGAGGGTTATGAGAACGCGCTAGAGAGAGGGCAGAGGGAGATGTACCAGGATGTTGCCTCTGGGGCTGGAGAGAATTACCAGGATGTTGCCTCTCGTGCTGGAGAGTTTCAGTGATGAAGAGAGATGGGACAGACTGGGGTTGTTTTCCTTGGAGCAGAGGGGACTGAGAGGGGAACACGACTGAGATGGAGAGAATGATGAGGGACATAGATAGGGTAGACAGGAAAAACATTTCCCCCTTGATGGAGGGATGGGTGACCGGGGAAGCACAGATTGAAGGTGAGGGGAGCAGGAAGTTTCGAGGGGATGTGAGGTGAAGTGATTTGCACCAAGAGGGTGGGAGGGTGAGGGGGGAATCTGGAACCCGCTGCCTGTAAGTGTAGGAGAGACAGTAACCCTCATCACACTGGAGAAGGGTTTCGATGTGCACTTATAATGGGGCTATGGGCCAAGTGCTGGGAAATGGGATTGGAATCGGGGAAGGGCGGAGGGGTGGGAAGGGAAGGGCGGAGGGGTGGGAAGGG